ATTTTAACGAGAAATGTTCTAAAAAATTATATAAAAAGAATACAAATATATATAAAAACGAGAATAACGTCAACTTCGCCTCGAGCGAAGAAGGGGAGTCACCCGAAAAATACGTAGTAACGGGATTATCGCAGAAAATGAGAAAAGACGGGGACATCTAAATAGAAGCATTACGATCCCCGAATCAATAACCTCATAAGCAATCAACCAATTAGAGGCCGCGATCATAAAACCAACAGAAGGGAATTACTACGCCATGGTCCTTAAAAATATCTGTAACAAGGTAAAACTTAAAGAAGCTGAGGTTAAGATCAAAGGGGTCCGCAAAACAAGAGCCGAGACCCTACTGTTGGAGCTCGTGAAGACAACTCATAAATTAGTCGGCCTGTTTGTTTGTCAGCTATATGTTATAATCGTCCCATCTGAAGTACTTGAATTTGTGGAAAATTTGGTGAAGATAATTTGACAAATAAAAAACATTTCCATACAAGAACTTGATTTTTACCGGTCAGATTTTAACACAGCTACATATGTATATATTATGGTAATCCGATATCAGCTTCTTGGTGAGAAAAKATCGTCTGTAAAATTTTAGAACAATATYTCAAAATTTAGGGACTTTTCATCATAAAAATAAGGTAATAAAATCGTTTGCCCCCATTTCTACTAAAGGACCTCTGAAGGACTATAAACAGKCTGAATAACTGTTAGATTGTTTATAAACAGAAGAAGTATTAAGCTAACTTAGCCTAATCCACCAAATTTAAACGATGGATAAATGTTGCTTATTTTAGTATCACGGAGAATTTGTATTACTTGTGTTATGTGAGCATCGAAGCTTCACGAAGAAGCAAGTCTGTTTAACTATACATATATATGTACATATGTACATATGTACAAACATACATACATACATACATATATATTTATAAGCAGGTATGCACATTCATACTTACATTGAAAAAATATCCATTTCGACAGCATAAAATGACTTTGCATTTGTCATATGATGATATTTAAGCGAGAATGTCTTAAAAGTGCTCGCCCTTCKTACCATCATCGATTACTTAGCAAAGAGGGAACCATAAAAATCAACGCTTGAAATGCATAAATCTGAAAGCGCTACTCCGACAACTCAGTGGGTCGTCCACGGCGCAGCATTAATGGGGCTTTCGTCCTTCAAAGCGTGTACGCAGCAGCGGGGGAGCTCATACTTATGTATGTACATATGTGTGAATGAAAAATGGATACTTGTGTTTGACAACCCACAAGAGGCAGAAAATATAACCAAACACACATTTGTGTTGTAGAATGTATGATGTTGATGCTGCCAAACCTAGAGCCAGTGTGTATACACAAAGCCCAGTGACAGCAGGAATAGCGGAAGGAAAGCATAAGCAAAACAAAATTAGAACAGCGACGCCAATCAACCACAAGCCACCACAAAAGCGCGGATGAAAACAAACCGATACACATACATACATACATACAGCTGAATATTATGCGCTCGCAGCATAGGAATTCAAATTCAAAAGTGACAGTTGCGTATCCCGGCGACTGCGGCATTTCGSGAGGCAGCAGCTGCCGTTGACGCATTGTTGTCATGACAACGGCTGCAGACAGGCTGCTGGCTGCCAAGCTTGTTAGTTGGTTTTCTGTATACCTTGTACACTTCATTGATAAAATGTGCGCAGCGCAGCCTATAGAGAGGGGGTTAGAATGCGCAGCGCCTGTTTTGGGGGTAAGTATCTATGGCTGTGCTATTGCTGTATGCAACCAGTGAACAAATTTTGCATACAATTTCAGTGCCTMGGAATTTTGCTTTAAGTGAAGCAAATACATTCCGAAGCAGGCAGGCTGCATTTGCCTTGCTTACATATACAAATGTAAATATGTACATATATATGTATATAAGTAAGTTGGCGCTTGCAATCCAGTGCGTGGCAGCCTTGTATACTTTGGCATTGCAGACTACAAAGGGTTAATTACAAGGTTACTATTTATGTACATACATATGAATGTTTGTATGTTTGTATATCAAAGCTGCCTGCGGCAATGACATTTTTTTGATAAACACTACTGGCATATAAAGGACTTTGCTTTAGATTTTAATTATTTCTKSCCGCAGGCGTTGACATTTCACTTACCTTTTAGTTACGACGATTGGTTTTTGTTGCACACACRTTTGGACTGCGCTGCTTATTTTTGCTTTTTTACTTGCTTGCGTTSCTTTGTTGTCACTTTTGTAAATATCAAGTTGTCGGAATCAAAATGTAAAAACACCCACTTTTTATGCACTTTTTGTTTTACTTTATCAAATATTTAGCTTTATCTCTGCTCTACAACTCTTTTTATTTTTATGCTTTAAAATTGCCTTGCTTTAGCGAGCGTTTCAAAAATTTAATTTTCACTATTTTTATTTAACTAGCAATCTTATCTAAAGCGTCCATGTMTTTATTTTTCTATTTATGTAAAGCAGATAAGCACTTCATTTACAGCACTGCACTCACTTTTTCATATTTTATTTTTTATGCCGATATYTTGCTTTGTATCATTTTTAGACCAACATTTCTTTGTGTCTGCTTGGTTTCGTAAAAATTTTGTTGTAACTTTTGTTATTTCTCAACACGTTATATACCCATTGACWGCAAAATATTTTATTGATATCAACAATTATTTTCTAAGCATAAAATATGTAACAAATAGACAATTCTTTAAATTTTTGTGATAAACGGATTTTTTCCACCACTTCAAATTGGCTTTTGCGACCGCGACGCAGCGCAGCTAGACATTGTTTGCAAAAACACACAAAGCAGTCGTGTATTTAAAGCAGCGACTGTGCTGCTACCTACAACGTTGGCAGTCAGCACGACAGCGCAGCTTCAGTTTCACACATTTCCAATATACGCGCTTCGCAAACACTTTTTTCCACGTTTACACTTTGTGCGTTGTTTCGTCGTTGTAAACGTTTTACATTCTTTTACACAAAACACTGCACACGCACACACGACGCACTCATAAAGGGCGCACAAAATACACCTTCCTTTTTACCTCGTTTTTCCCGTTTGTTGCGCACGTTTCGGCTGCTGCTTTTGCTTGTCTGCGAATTGCTTTTGCTTTTGCTGCTGCTCTTCTACCTATTTTCTTTGCAACTTTTTTTTGCAGCAGCAGCAGCGTACCACTGAAAATTCTTTCACCTTCTAGCACTTGTTTCAAATTCAATTTTTATCACTAATTTGTTGCTTTTTGCAATTTATATTTGCACCTTTATGTCACATTTTACACTTTCTTTGCATTTGTTCTGAATTTGTGCAGGTGGTTGAGGTGCAATGTTGAAGAAAATGCTAGGATTCYAATTCACGAACACGAGACACACACGCACTAATTAACATCCACTCAGAACGACGGTTAAAAAATTACTGCACGAAAGCGCACGACGAGTAGCGGCGCATTGCCAAACGGCGGTCAACTTCTTTTCCAATCAGCCACGAATGCCGTGTCAAAACAAAAAGTCAAAAATTATTCAAGTTGATTCCTGTTAAGGCATATATTGGCAGCAGAGAACGTATATTTATAGAGAAGGTCCACCAATGGACAGGCGTGTAAACTGTCAAAAGCTAACAAAATGCGATGAGTGCATTTCACCACAGCTAGCTAAGAAGGAGAAATCTTAACAGTGGAGCGTGAACAGAGCTGAGCATTCA